TTTATTCAGACAATCCTACATTATTTTGACAACATGAAATCATTTTTTTTTTTTCTGCTGGGTAATGCATATGCTTCACCACAATGTGATGTGGTACTTGTGTGGGCGATCGGATTTTGAATCATAACTTGTGCTCCTTAGCATTTCTCTGCTGCCCTGTCCATTTAAAGGCAAAACTATTGAAGCTTGTTTCCGCCATAGAATGAAAAATATAAAAGGTAATTGCGACTTTTTATCTCACAATTCTGACTTTTTTTTCTCACAATTGCGAGTTTACTTCTCGCAATTCTGACATTATTTCTCAGAATTGCGAGATGTAAAGTCAGAATTGCGAGATATAAAGTCAGAATTGTGAGTTATAAAGTCCGAATTGCGAGATAAAGGCACAATAATTTATTTTATTTTTATATTCAGTGGCGGAAACAAGCTTCCATACAAAACACTCATAAATTTTATAAAATTAAAATCACTTTCTCCAAATCTAAAATTATTTTTCTGCTGACGTAAGAATCAGTTGGAGAAAAACTGTATTACCCAAATAGAGTGCTGCAGGAATGACTCGTAAATTCTGGAAAAACATTATTTAGCAGTTTTGAACTGCTGGTTCGCTTGTCCTGAACTCAATGGATTTTTGGTTAATTGACTGAAAAAAAAGGTATGTGGTTCACACAAGCTCAGGGTAATTTCACAATATTATTCAACAAAAGGAGATACAAAATCATATATACTTTTTAGTCTTTTTTGTGTCTTGGAAAAATGTATTTGCTAGCAAGTGGCTAAATGGGACTGAAGAGATCTTCCCAATGTATATCTGAGTGAAACGGGACTAGATTTTTATTTATTTATTTATTTTTTTTTTTTTTATCTGGAATTTATTGGATCAGGGGATCTGTCCTTTTGTAATTGATGTGGTCTCATGCCAGGGAAAGGTTGCTGGAGCACAAGTCATCATAGAAGACATGTTGTTGCACGTGGAAGTTAATGTTTTTAATTAAAGATGACAAGGGCACATGAATATGAATATATATATATATATATATATACTGTGTATGTATATGTGTGTATATATATATATATATATATTCATATTCATGTGCCTTTGTCATCTTGTTAATTCTAATATATATATATATATACAGTATATATATATATATATATATAATATATATATATATATATATATATATATATATATACAGTATATATATATATATATATATGTGTGTGTGTATATAATTTTTTTTTCTTAGAATATTTTCAGCTGAAGATGTTCAATTATAATATCAAATGCCATTGCATGTTTTTAATTAAAGATGACAAGGGCACATGAATATGTATAAGTATATATATATATATATATATATATATATATATATATATATATATACTGTGTATGTATATGTGTATGTGTATGTATATGTACAGTCTGACAGTCTGTTTTTCTGTCTTGCCCCGAGGCCCATGAGCCCAGTAAAAGAGTATGTCTCATCAAGCCAGCATCACTTACTGCAGATAAGTGTTCTACCTCACACAGTCAAGCAGCTAAGATGCTTCTGTAGAATAATTCCTCGAATCCCTCCGCTGTAGATGTTTGTTTATTTGTGTGTGGAGGTTTCTAGTTGAGTGGTGCGGCGGCTCTGCGCTTGTGGTCTGCTCTCCAGGCCTACTGTCACTCAGAGGGAAACAGAACCCATGACCCATAAAGCCCACAGGTTCTGAGAAGAGTGTAACTAATGGATGCCTCTTAGAGAAAGGATCCCCGCGGAGCTGCACTCTCTACCGCCACAGGGCAGAGAATGAGACAGAGGGATGAAGTATGTTATAAACATAGGTGCTGTGAAATGGTAAGAGGGGTCAGGAGGTACCGAAAAAGGGAGGAGTGAGCTGAAAATAAAGGCAAGTGGGTAGAAGTTCTAGGGAAAATCAGATAAAAAGAGACAAAATGGAAGCCATGCAGGGACATTCACAGAGGTGTTGGTCTTCAGCTGTGTATTCTTCAGTCAGGGTTAAGCCGTTTGGGAACAGTGCTATGTATATGACTAAATTATCAGAACTGAGCCATTACTAGTGTACCAAGGTTACAAAATTAAAAGACAAAAAATCTAGAAAAATAAAATAAAAATACTACTTGATTTCCTTATGGCAGGTTAAATGTTGTTTTATTTATTTATTTATTTTTGTGGATTATTTTTTTAAAATGTAATTTAATTAATTATTATTTATTATTATTATTTATTCATTTGTATTATTTACTGGCCATTAAACTGTTTAATTCACCGCATTTTCTACAATCGTTTGGTAGAATGTCAGCTCTCTCTCACGCACACAAAAAAAAAAATTCATTATATCGATTCATGAAGATAAATATTAGATCTCAGAAAAATGTGTGTGTGCAGAATTACCTTAGTTTGTGAGGATTTGTGTGAGTATATTATTGCCCAGGTTGAGTTATTTACTGTCACTGTTTGTAATCGGAGTATCATGAAGGAAGCCACATAAAGATCCATGTATTGGTGCATTTCAATGACATTTCCTCACACACCCTACTGTGGTCTTTTTTGGAAATGTCTCTAAGCCGTCATACAACTCTGAACTGATTGCTTTCTGCTTACAGATGGCGCCCCCTTTGGTTAAATATAAAATTGCAGTGCACATTCCCACCCATGTGGTTTAGTGTAAATACATGCAAGCTGAAATGGCATGCTGTCTAATTTAAATAACACCATCCCTGTTCCTCTTCTTCATAGTCTCTGCATGTTTGTTTGTTTGTGTGTGTGAGAGAGAGAAGGATGTACAAACACTCATTTCTCATGTTTTCCCTTCCTAAGAGCCAGTTCGACCCGATCTGTCAGCATAGGCATATTTGTGGAAGCCTTTTGTTTCACCGAGTATCGTGTTGTTGTTGCTTTCCCCTTCGACTCCGCTATTTCATTTAAGTTATTTATCATTCATCCAAAATCGCCAGGTTCAAAGAAGAATAAAGAATGGAGTGAATAAAAGGATGGGGGAAGTGAGAGCTTCCAGTGGTGGATAACAGGGTATAATAGGCCCCAGAAACAAAGCAGCTCATTGATTGTGTAATGAGCTTTTATCTGCGGGTATAATTGCCCTGCTTGTGTTAGCTCATGTACGTTCACTCTCTGATGAGCAGCTGCCCCGCCTAACGCCAGAGCGCCCTCGTCTTTACTTTGAGTTCTTCCAAATCTCACAAACTACGTCTAGTTGTGTTTTATGGATGTCCTCAAGTTGAATGTGGTTCACCTGAGTATTGAGGTTGAATGTCACGCCCCCATATTTTTTTTTATATAAATGAGGGATGACTGTGCATTCAAACATTTTCCCCTGTCATTGTGGCCTCAAACTTGATTTAAAAAAAAAAAAAAATCTATTTAGAAACAAACAAATGTAAGACATTAGCATCCGGCCCAACCTCACCGCTTTCCAGCACTTGATTTGCATGACAAAGGCTCCCTTCAATTATTTAACAGGCCTATTTGATCAACACCGGAGAGCCCAGTGTTCTTCTGCAGGGACAATCTGGATATTTTTCCCTTCATTATTCATAAGGAAAAAAGAAAAGACGGCAGAGGAATGGACAGGAGACAGAGCAAAAGAATAGATTCAGTGTACCAATGTGGATGGCTTTAGTTTCATGTGTATTAAAAGTTTTCTTTTTTGGCTTCAATTAATATTTTAGAGAGGGTGAAACTAAACCGGACCTTTCTTCCTTTAGGGACCTTACTAGTGGGTAGGAGGAGGTCGTGCTATCACAGAGACTTTAACCCTTGATTATGTAGTCATGAGGGCCAAGAGTTCAAATGCTTTTTTATGCGAGACATTGTGAAGACGGCATGTAAGGATGTGAGGGTTTTTGCCAGTGTAACCTTAGCTTCGCTGAAGTGTTCTGCGGTCGACACTGAACTGTGTGTGTGTTACCCTTTTGCACTACTTCAGTGGCATTTTGTGTTCTCGGGTATGTAGTCTGGTTAAGACCTGGGACCCTGCATTTTTTTTTAGGTTCACCTTGTGCTTGGTCATTAATTTGATTCTGGAGACAAAATTGAAAGACACAGAAATGTCAGTATATGCAAATTGTCCCAGCATGATAAAGGAGCACCTTTGAGGATAAAAAAAAGTTGACCTGATTGTACATAAAATCATTGCACGATATTCCGATTTTAGTTTGAGGCACTTGGTAACAAGTCAACTATATAGCTTGAGCAGAATTGTTTATTCATTTTTTTCCCTAAGTAACATTTTTTTTCTGCTATTTTATTTATCTGTACTACAGTTTAACTGTTTTTTCTTTTCTTTTTCTTTAAGGGCAGTTTATCATCAAGGCATAATTCACTTAAAATAAACCTGTCCAGTCTTGTGCTGTATGTACTTTACCTTTTGATACACTTTTTTGATGAATTGGGAAGGTATTTTTTGACCTAAGTGATATTGCAAGTACCTGCTTGCATTGTTTACGTGCAAATATACAAAAGAGAGAAACATGAAAATTATTTAACATATTTTGTAAATAGCATCAACATGGCTGGTAAATATTCTGAAATTAATGTGTTTATTAATTACATTTTAACTCATGGTTGGAATCTAAGAGCTGCTTATTTATTTTTTCCACGTAATATTTCTGTAGTATTTTGCTATTTCAAGAGTGTTTTAAATATACGTATACTGTACATACTATTTTAGATGTCACGATGTGGTTGAAGCAAGGTAGAAGCAGGATCCACATGCAACACATTTTATTCAATAAACTGAAAACAGGAACAGGGCATCCAACATTGACAGTAACAACTCAAGAACTGACAAGAACTAAAACGCAGGGCTTAAATACAAGGACAAACAAGCTAAACAAGATAACAAGGGGGTGTGGTATACATGAACACAAACGAGGAGCGGGAACACTGTGAACAGGACTGAACCAAAAGCACAAAGACAGGGGGAACACAGACAGACATTACAACATTAAACCATATGTCCAACAAATGAACAGAACAGCACCAGTGATCGTAAATTGTCATCCACTGCCTCTCGACTCTCTCCCTGCTTTTGGCCTGGTGTTGGGTGAGTGAGTACCTAAAGCAACTTTCCATTGCAACAACTAGTCTGTAATGTAAATAATGTGACACATCACCTTCATGTGTCCGGACTCTGCAGTGTTGCTTTTGTACTGAAAGACAGTCAATATCAAGGCTAGTGCCTGGGGTTGGTAGAGCTCAAGAAGCACACCTGAAATATGGAAGCAATGAGTCAGACTCTGTATCACACTCTTCAAACAAGTTATAAACAACACAAACTGTTTTTAAGGATTACCTCACCCAAACATATAAATTGTAATTTTCTCATATCTTCTTGTGTCGTTCCAAACCTTTATGGCTATTGGTTTTCTTTAAAATATTTTGAAAAGATTTTTTTTTTTCATCATGAAGACAAAAAACTTTGAAGAATTCAGATTTGGGATTGGAACAGCATGAGGGTGAGTAAATAATGGCATTTTTCACTTTCAATAAAAAGTGGCTCATTATCAGTGTTGGTCAAGTTACTTGGAAATAGTAATTAGTTACTGATTACTTCTCCAAGAAAGTAATCCAATTACTTTACTGATTACTTATTTTCAAAAGTAATTAGTTACTTTACTAGTTACTTTTCAAAAACATGATGCACGACCTGAATACGCTAAATCATAGACCTTTCAGCCTAATTCTATTCTTTCTGCATATTCCATCATCTAAAATGTAATCAAATTAAACATTTTCTTTTTTTTACACTTGTTTTATTTCTTTCAATATTTTAACTTTATGCACATTGCATCGAGCAAAAATTAAATTAAATGCAACAGTCTCAGACTAGAAGAAAATTGTTGAACATTTAAACCTATTTTCTGCACATTCCACCATATTTTAATGAAATAAAGACAGCCCTTCTTCTGTTAATATACATTTCTACATATTCCAGCATATGAAATAAATATGTTTTGTAAAATCCTTCATTTGAATAGATGTAAAAATACAGCAACAAAATCATGAAAGTCGCTCCTGACTATATTACAAATTATTAACACACGTCTTTTAACAGTAAAGTGCAGAGAGGAGCAAAAATTTGTTTAATCAAAACAGAAAATGCTGTTGCATGCCGTATTTTGGCTTCAAGTTTTTTTTCTGTTTTTTTTTTTCTTTCGGAGTTAAACAGTGGTTATGTCCCATCAGCATGTAGCCGCAGCGGTCATGTCAGATGGGGGTTCAGGGTTTTTTTCAGTAAGTTTCACATTCCTGTACCGGCTTGCTGCTTTAGTTAACCGTGTGAGGTTGTCTCGTGACATGCTTGCTCAGATTTGAGGTAGAATTTAGACATTCTCCAACGGGGGTCCTGTTTCCAGATCAGGATGCTCTCTGCATAGTACGCAAGTCTCTCTCTCGCTCTCCTCGTCGTGTGCGCGATACGAAGTTTCTAGCGCATGCGCGCTCGCTCTAGATTCAGGGAGATTTTAACTAATTTGCGGTATAACTAGTCAATCACAAATGTGGCTCAACGGTTAGATTTATAAATATACTCATCTTTCAGGCATTTGACCGACGGGATTGACACTTCAGCGCGAGAAATCGGGTGTGTGTCGTGTGAGCGTGTGTGAGAGTTGGCAGCTCGGCTGCTCTCTCCCGCGCTCTAATCGTCTCTCACTGATGTCGTGGCGCTCATACATCATTTTTATTCACGCACGACTCATGTCACGAGACGGTCTGACTAAACAAAATCACGGTTAACTAACGCAGTAACGCAGGCTGTTTACGGGGAAGTAACGATAATCTAATGACTGTTTTTTCAATTGTAATCCCTTACTTTACTCGTTACTAGAAAAAAAGTAATTAGATTACAGTAACGCGTTACTTCTAACGCGTTACTGCCCATCAGTGCTCATTATATATTACCTATGATAAACTAGCCATCTGCACTATAACCCAGTAGTTCAGAATTACCTTTTTTTAAACAGACTCGGGAAGCTCTAGTGTAAAAACACCCATAGCTTGTGCTGATTTCCTTCAACATCAGGTTTTGTCAGCCGGAGCTAGCGGCAAGCGTCGCATGAAGCTCAACAGTTCTTTGTTCCTTCTGTTATTTACGCATGAGAGAGGCACCGGTAGCAGAGCTGTGAGCCACAGGTCTGGAGAGAGGAAGAGGAGAGCAGCCCGGCCGTGTTATCTGTAGCTCTCTCTGTCACCTGCGGAGTGACTGTCAGATCAGCCTAGAGTTTGGGCCCTCCCTGATGTTCATCGCTGGGGAGTATGGGTAATTGGAGAGAATCGCCTCTGTTCCAAACCAGCCATGCAGTCTCAGTTCAGAGCCAGACTGCTGGAAGCAACACTTTCCCCCTGCAGAAATCTTATGTACTGAGATCACTCCAATTTTTCAAACCTGCGACTCAGGCCTGAATGTGAATGAGACACACAGGAAGCTGAAGTCTGCATCGGGAGGTGCTTTTGTCCTTGACTTATTTCCCTTTTCGCTCTGCTTTTCTGTTTTTACAAAACTCACTTTATGGAATTAATCTTTCTGAACCGAGTCGCATATTGGCTGAGGTGAACCAAGAGCGCATTAGGGTATGGCGTCTGACAACATTCAGGAAGCGCAAAGCAGTTAGTAAAACTGGATTTTTTTTTTTCTTTTCGATAGCATGGGATGGTTTAGAGATAATTATCCAGCAGCTATCACTCTGCAGCTCTCACCTGGTCGCTTACTGAAGCTAAGCAGGATTTCACGTACCTGGATAGGGAAGCCTTCTGGAAAACTAGGTTTCTGCTGGGAGATGTGCTAATGAGGCCAGCTCAGCCTGTGGTCTGTGTGGGTACTGCCCCAGTATAGTGATAGACACAATACTATCAAAAAAGCACTGTCTTCGGATGTGACGTTAAACCGAGATCCTGACTAACGTAAAACCCTTGCACCCTGGCCAAACTTTCCCACTGGCCGGACTCCATTTTTACGGACTCTGCCATTGCATCATCAGGTGGATGCTGCACATTAGTGGTATAAAGATTTTCTCTTCGTTCACAAGCGTGCATGCTTGATTTGTGAGAACCAATGACTTTCATTCTCACGTGTTATGCCAGCATGTTTGAGCTTTCGCAAGAATGTTTGAGGTTTGTTTTCACACATCAAGTATGGTTGAGATTTTGCTTTAGCTGATACATGTTTTTTTTATATAAATGAAAGCCTAAATTAAACATTTCCATAAGACATCTGTGTCTTCAGAAGACTTGAATTCACATGGATTTCTTTTACAATGTCTTTATGAATGTCTTGAACCATAAGAGTTTTGGGTTAATACTGTAGTTTTGGGTTAATAGACTTGTAAGGGAGGGACACTGTCAAATCTGTCAAATTCCATTAAAAGATATTAATTTGTGTTCCAAACATGAACAAAAGCCTGATGGGTTGACATAATTTTCATTTGTGGGTGCCCTAACCCTTTAACTGTATTATAAACCATAGTTCTATGTGTAAAATGTGTAACCATTAAAGGAATAGCTCACCCAAAAATTATGATATCATTTACTCACCCACATGTTGCTCCAAATCTGTATGACTTTCTTTATAACAAAATATGTTTCATAATATCTTACATGTTCCACTGAAGAAAGAAAGTCATAGGTTTGGAATTACATTGGGGTAAGTAAATGATTCAGTTTTGAATAAACTATCCGTTTAAAGCCAATATTATCTGTTACTATACTCTTCGACAGAATTATTTCACAGCAAATGCCAGATGATGTTAAAAATTGAAATTACATGCCATATGTTACAAATGATGGTGCATTGGTTTTCTAATATGTTTTATTTGCCATTATTATAATGATTTTCCTCAAATATGAGATTGAATCTGTGTTAAGCCCAGATGCCATATGCTCAAATTAGCATTTGTTTGTGGCCAGAAAATTACTTGGAAATTGCAGAACTGTACTAGTAGGATGGGTGTGTATTTTGAGTTTAAATGTGCAACCAAGCAATGAACAAGTCAGATAGAGAAAGACAGAGCGAATGAGGTCTCATAGCCAATCTTGAGTCATCTAGCTCTCACCACACATTCCATTTCCCGCAATTCAGAAATAGACAGCTTTGTCAGCTTCTTTGGCACTCTCTTGTTTTCAGGTATGAATAACAGCCCGCTGATATCTTCTCCATTTCTGATATCTCTCTCTGAAGCGCGGCGTCTCCCCCTACCCCACCACCCAAGTCCTCAGCAGGGGAAGATGGGTGTTATGAAACTGTCTGTTATTCATGCGTGAGAGGGCCTCATTGCAGATCAGCGTTACCGTGCCTTTATTTAGTCAGAATGATAATAACAAAACAACAATGGATTCAGGTTATGAGGATTTAACTGTCCTTGTAATAGTTATATCTCTGTGTTGACATCCTTCTGAAAAGACCCAGACGCCCAGTCAAAACATTCTGCACAATCAGAACAGCAGTGATGCGTTCAAATGTAAATAACAGCCTAGGTTGCCATTACACAATTAAAACAGAACGCATCCAAATGTGTTCTTTGTGATTTTAGCTCAGCCATGTTAACAAATGGCACTTTTGCAGTTTTGACGTTACTGAGATTTACTTTTTGGTTTTAATCGATAGGGTCGTATCTCAAGTTGGCAGATTCTCCACTCTCAAGGGATGCTATTTTCAACCATTAATATATCTCCAAAAGCTCTCAAACCGAGTTTCTTTTTGCAGATAGTGATGAAATTGTCGCCAGATAACAGCAACTATAATTTTCCCTATGACTTGTTGTTATGCAGTTTTGTAGAAAAGACATGCGTTATAAAATAGCCTTGTCATGCACTGTCGTGTTATCCAGTTAACGATTGGATTCTGTGATATTTCCTATCAACTGCATCATTCACTCTATATTTTTCAAAGTGTCTTCCCAACGTTATACTTTCACCTGCATGATACAAAGACAGTGGCAGTGTGGAGTGTTCTCCTGTCAGAAACCCATCACACTCAACTCGGTCTCGATCTTCAGCCTCTCTTTTTTTTCCATGTACCTGACGGAAATCTACAATAAATGTCAAACC